CGAGACCCAGGCCTCCTCCTGCTGCCCCTATGGCCCCCGTGACTTAAAGGGCTCTGACTGCTAACACTGTAGTTCATACTTAAAGGGCCATCCAGCCCTGCGATGTGGCTCAGTGGTGGAGCGTCAGCCCATCCATGTACCAAGAGGTCACCGGTTCAATTCCTGGTCAGGGCACAGGCCTGGGTTGTGGGCTGATCCCCAGTGGGGGGCATGCAGGAGGCGGCCCATCGATGTTCTCTCTCATCGACGTTTCCATCTCTCTCCCTCTCCCTTCCTCTCTCTCTAAAAATCAATAAAGAAAAAAATTTTTTTTTTAAATAACAGCCATCCAAACCTGAACATTCAGTGTTCCCTGAAGTAGAAGGGCTCCATTCTTCAGCTATACATTTAAAAGTGACACAGGTCAGCCTGGCTGGTTTGGCTCAGCGGTCAGAGCATCGGCCCGTGGACCAGAGTCCTGGGTTTGATCCCAGCGAAAAGCACGCACCTCGGTGGTGGTTTGTCCCCAGCCCTGGTTGGGGTTGTGTGGGTGGCAACCATCAATCCATCTCTCACATCGATGTTTCTCTCTCTCTCTTCCTCCCTTCCTCCCTCCTGCTCTATCTGAAGATAAATGAAAAAATGTCCTCTGGTGAGAATTAAAAAATAATAAAAAAATAAAAAACAAAAATGATATAGGCTTAGCTAAGACATAGAAAGTAAGTCATGTTAGGGATGGGGCAGGATCCACAGGGTCGAGTAATACTGCACTTTTGTTAGATTATGTAGATCCGCCCGGCTGGTGTGGCTCCCTGCCTGGAGTGTTGTCCATGCACCAAAAGGTCACAGGCTCGATTCCCGGTTGGGGTGTGTAGGGGACAACCAATGTGTCTTTCTTTTCTTCTCTCTCTTCCTTCTCCCTCTCTAAAATAAATTACGTAGACCTGTCTCTGTGCATGCACCCCTGCATGTATAAGTGCACAATCTGCACATGCATGGAATGGACATACCACACCAACGCCATCACCTTTATGTCTCGTTCATAAGCCAAATGAAGCCACACGCACTCCTGTGCGGGCAGGGATGTACTTCATGGCTCCTCTGTGCGGTTCTCCTTTTCCCGCGAGGAGCCTGGCTGAGCATTTCAGGCCGTGCAGCTGCGGCTGCTGGCGGTGCCAGCTCAGGACCCCTGTCCGCTGGGCTGTCCTGCCCTCACTCTCCTGAGGAGCCCCGCCCGGCAGGGAGTGTGCGCAGTAGGTGTGATTGATGTATGTGTGACATGACGTGTGCATGTGGGATGTGTGGGTGTGTGTATGTGTGTGCAAGTGAGTGAAATGTTTGTGTGTACATAGGAGTGTGTGGGGTGTGCGGTTGCAGTGTGAGGGGTGTGTGCGGTTACAGTGTGTGAGGGGTGTGCGGTTGCAGAGTGTGAGGGGTGTGGGTGGTTACAGAGTTGTGAGGGGTGTGTGCGGTTGCAGAGTGTGAGGGGTGTGTGGTTGCAGAGTGTGAGGGGTGTGTGTGGTTACAGTGTGTGTGAGGGGTGTGCGGTTGCAGAGTGTGAGGGGTGTGTGTGGTTACAGAGTGTGAGGGGTGTGTGTGGTTACAGAGTGTGTGAGGGGTGTGCGGTTGCAGAGTGTGAGGGGTGTGTGTGGTTACAGAGTGTGTGAGGGGTGTGCGGTTGCAGAGTGTGAGGGGTGTGTGGTTGCAGAGTGTGAGGGGTGTGCGGTTGCAGAGTGTGAGGGGTGTGTGGTTACAGAGTGTGTGAGGGGTGTGCGGTTGCAGAGTGTGAGGGGTGTGTGTGGTTACAGAGTGTGTGAGGGGTGTGTGGTTACAGAGTGTGTGAGGGGTGTGTGGTTACAGAGTGTGTGAGGGGTGTGTGGTTACAGAGTTGTGAGGGGTGTGTGCGGTTAGAGAGTGTGTGAGGGGTGTGCGGTTGCAGAGTGTGTGAGGGGTGTGCGGTTGCAGAGTGTGAGGGGTGTGTTGTTGCAGAGTGTGAGGGGTGTGTGTGGTTACAGAGTGTGTGAGGGGTGTGCGGTTGCAGAGTGTGAGGGGTGTGTGTGGTTACAGAGTTGTGAGGGGTGTGTGCGGTTAGAGAGTGTGTGAGGGGTGTGCGGTTGCAGAGTGTGAGGGGTGTGTGGTTGCAGAGTGTGAGGGGTGTGTGGTTGCAGAGTGTGAGGGGTGTGCGGTTGCAGTGTGAGGGGTGTGTGCGGTTACAGTGTGTGAGGGGTGTGCGGTTGCAGAGTGTGAGGGGTGTGTGTGGTTACAGAGTTGTGAGGGGTGTGTGCGGTTGCAGAGTGTGAGGGGTGTGCGGTTGCAGAGTGTGAGGGGTGTGCGGTTGCAGAGTGTGAGGGGTGTGTGGTTGCAGAGTGTGAGGGGTGTGTGTGGTTACAGAGTGTGTGAGGGGTGTGCGGTTGCAGAGTGTGAGGGGTGTGTGGTTACAGAGTGTGTGAGGGGTGTGCGGTTGCAGAGTGTGAGGGGTGTGTGTGGTTACAGAGTGTGTGAGGGGTGTGCGGTTGCAGAGTGTGAGGGGTGTGTGTGGTTACAGAGTGTGTGAGGGGTGTGTGTGGTTACAGAGTGTGTGAGGTGTGTGTGGTTGCAGTGTGTGTGAGGGGTGTGCGGTTAGAGTGTGTGAGGGGTGTGTGGTTACAGAGTTGTGAGGGGTGTGTGCGGTTAGAGTGTGTGAGGGGTGTGCGGTTGCAGAGTGTGAGGGGTGTGTGCGGTTACAGAGTGTGTGAGGAGTGTGCGGTTGCAGAGTGTGAGGGGTGTGTGCGGTTACAGAGTGTGTGAGGGGTGTGCGGTTGCAGTGTGTGAGGGGTGTGTGGTTGCAGAGTGTGAGGGGTATGTGCGGTTACAGAGTGTGTGAGGGGTGTGTGGTTGCAGAGTGTGAGGGGTGTGTGCGGTTACAGAGTGTGTGAGGGGTGTGTGGTTGCAGAGTGTGAGGGGTGTGTGCAGTTACAGAGTGTGTGAGGGGTGTGTGGTTACAGAGTTGTGAGGGGTGTGTGCGGTTAGAGTGTGTGAGGGGTGTACGGTTGCAGAGTGTGAGGGGTGTGTGCGGTTACAGAGTGTGTGAGGAGTGTGCGGTTGCAGAGTGTGAGGGGTGTGTGCGGTTACAGAGTGTGTGAGGGGTGTGCGGTTGCAGTGTGTGAGGGGTGTGTGGTTGCAGAGTGTGAGGGGTGTGTGCGGTTACAGAGTGTGTGAGGGGTGTGTGGTTGCAGAGTGTGAGGGGTGTGTGCGGTTACAGAGTGTGTGAGGGGTGTGTGGTTGCAGAGTGTGAGGGGTGTGTGCAGTTACAGAGTGTGTGAGGGGTGTGTGGTTGCAGAGTGTGAGGGGTGTGTGCGGTTACAGAGTGTGTGAGGGGTGTGTGGTTGCAGAGTGTGAGGGGTGTGTGCGGTTACAGAGTGTGTGAGGGGTGTGTGGTTGCAGAGTGTGTGAGGGGTGTGTGGTTGCAGTGTGTGGGGGGTGTGTGTGGGGGTGTGGTTTGTGGTGTGTGTGTGCACCAGTGTGTGGCATGGTTCAGGGTGTGTGTGTGAGGCATTCAGTGGGCAGCCGTGAGCCTGTTTTGGGCAAACACAGAGCCTCAGGCCTGTCGGGGAAGCCTTGACCCTGAACAGGACCTAAACAGCACCCTCTTCTGGACAGAGCAGGGCACCACAGGCTCCCTAAAAGGCCAGTCCACCCCAGGGCGCCCCACGGGCTGGGGCTGTGGCCTGGGTGAGAGGGAAGTTCCCAGGTGGGACAAATACTCTGGAGAGAAATAGTGAACTAGGAGCAGGAGGCCAGCAAGGGTGGGGCCTGTTTCCCCGGCCCCCGGGTCAGCAGTGCCGAGGTGCCTGCCCCCCGGACTCCTCACTCCCCTGTCCACCTTCCCTGCGTGGGCTGAAGGTCACAGGCTGCGCTCCCTTCCCCCACGGAGGCCCCGTGGAGGGGGGAGGGCAGCTCGGGGCCCTCGGCAGGGGCACAGTGACAGGCCAGGGTTGCTCCGTCTTCCCCTCCCCCGTCCTGGAGGCCGCGTGCGTGACCACGTGTGCATACACACCAGCTCCCACGTAGAAGCACACGGCTTCAGATCACACGGTCTGCCTGCACCCGCCCTCTGCCTGGCCGTGGGGCCCAGCACCACCTTCCCCACCTGCCCGTCGAGAAGGATGGTCCCAGTGTCCCTGTGGGGGAGGGGCCAGGGCTGGAGTAGCTCCTGGCACAGGGGCAGCATCGGTGGCCCACACAGGTCTGGCCCAGCACCCAGCCACCTGGACCCGCCCCTGCAGTCTGGCTCCACCACCTCCGTCCTCAGGCAGCTTGCCCTGCCCACCACCTGTGGCCCGTGGCTGGTGTTTGCAAACAGACTGACTGGTGTGGCCACGTCCCCTCTCTGGCAGCTTTCAGGCCACAGGGCAGAGCTGGGCAGGTGGGCAGAAACTCCGGCTGCACAGGCCAGAACAGCTAACAGGTAGCCGTGCGGGAGAAGCTGGTTGGCCCGGCTGTCCAGAGAAGTAGCTACGGGCCGACCCCGATCGCTGAAGGATGCAGCCGGGAAGGCAGTATTGGGGGAGGAGGCCCGCCCCACCCCGCACCTGGACGGTGTCCCGCTCACCTGTGGCCTGGCAGAAGAGGTGGAAGGTCCCCAGGGCATGCACGTGCTGGGCCTGGTCCTTGAGGAAGGGCGGCAGCAAGGTGACCCGAGGGCGGCCATCAGGCCGAGAGCCCGGGGCCAGCCAGGGGCTTCGGGGAGAGGAGGATGAGTCGGGGACCAGACAGGACAGGGAGGAGGACCCCGGAGGAGGGAAGGGCATAGGAGATGAGGCTGCGAGACAGAGGACAGAAAAGAGAGAGGGCACTGAGGCAGAGGTCTTCAGAAACACACGGCATGCAGAGAAGGGAGCAAGTTCAGGAGAAGAAAGGGACCCAGAGCCGCCCTGGGCCTGCCCGGGCCGCGTGTGGAGGCGACAGGAGACCGCCCCCCAACAATCGCACTTCCAGAGGGAGGCCCCACGGCCCCAGCAAAGCACGGGCCCACATCAGGATATAAGCTTGTTTATTTGATTACTTTCCGAATGTATACAATTCAAAGTAGAAAAATAAAAACAAAGTAAATCTTATAAAACACAAATGTTTACACCGAAACAGTCGAATCCTATCATGCCGGAAGATGAGACTGTCCACACAGGCACACAAAACTCCAGTTTATTGCTCTTTGCCACGGAAAATATTCTCATGTGGGCGTTTGGACAGCGAGAGGTGGACTGTGAGGATGGCCACGTTCCACGGCACAGCCATCACACCTGTGAGACCGTGCCAGGCCAGGCGGTGTGCCACGGCAGTGTGCCACAGCGGTGTGCCACGGCAGTGTGCCACGGCGCTGTGGGGTGGCTGTGCACACAAGCCAGTCCCTCCCCGCTCTCTTCCAGCTGTGACGGCTCAGGTCTGCCAAGTGGAAAGTCTGGGTGGGTAGGAGGTATGAAATGGAAGCAAAAAGGAGGAGATGTTCAGATGACCAGACCATGCAGACAGTGACCATGAGCAACAGATTGTGAAACGCTCATCCTCGCGGCTCTGGGCCAGCCCAGCTCTACCCAGGGCCACTGTCCCTTCTCAAAACCCTGCCCGATGGTCACGGGACACCGGGCAGGGTTTTCTTCTCTTCAAGAGTTAAAATGAGAAAGAAAATCTAAAAAGGACGCTTTCCCTTAAGGAATCAAATTTTTAAAAAGTCAGTGTGCTCAAGAGACCGCTTTGTCTGCATGTCTAAAAGCAGAAAGAACGCATTCAGCAAAGTAAGTTTATCCCTGAGAATCTTCAGCAACGTAAGCCACATCGTATCCTCACGTACAACAACACCGAGGAGACGTAACATCTTCGACATATTAAAACATCTGCTTTAGGAACTTAAAAAAATAAATGGCCTAACACTTCAACACAATTACAGCGACATCCTGAACAGTCATCACGTGGAAGAAAGCTTCCTGCCAATCGGACCACAGGCGACAAGTTACCAATCTGATAAACTAAAAACATTGTTTCCAATTGGAATGAAACTATCTTTCAGTGGCTGCTTCCTGCCTGGCGCTCAAGGTGCGCCTGCTCCAGGCCAGGCCGGTGGACGGCCCCCTGCCCGCCAGCGCCTCGCGGTGCTCCAACCGGCCCACGGAGCCCGGGAGCCATGTTCGCCGTTTTCCGAAAGGACAAAGAGAAACCAAGTCACGAGAGTTCTACCCAAGAGAAAAGACACGAGACTGAGGTCTGCGGAGAATGGGCTACCTGCGCGGCACGGGACGAGGTTACTGCACGGGAACACAAAGGCCTCCCCGTGGGCGACGCCTCAGTCCCCATCCGCATCCGAGTCCGCGAACTTCAGCTCACACTTGACGTCGAAAGGCCTGTCCCTGGCCGGGAGCTCGTCCATCCGCTGCGAGTCCTCCCTGTCGGTGGGCGCTCTGCTGGCCGTGGTGTCCTGCTCCGTCTCGTAGCCGGTGTCCAGGGCCGGCCTGGGCTGCCCTCCGTTCTGCTGGGAGAAGCTGCCCTGCTCCACCAGCGTCTCCTTCACACTCGGCTCGCAGTCGGAGAAGTCCGAGGCGGGCTGCTTCTTCCCCAGCAGCATGGCGGAGCGAAGCCGCAGGCACTGCCCGGGCAGGTAGCCCTTGTAACAGTTGTAGGAGAAGAGGCAGAGGCAGAGGACAAAGAAGAAGAGGAAGAGGGACATCAGGAGGCGGTTGTCACTAGACTTGAGGTACAGGGTCTTCTCCGACTGGACCTGGGGGACAGTGTTGATGACAATCTTTGGTTCGCAGGATGTGCTGGTGGGCGCCAGGCTGGAAGGCGTGGTGAGCCGCACTGCCGGGGTCCGCGGAGAGGAGCCCTGGACGGGCCCTGCCGACACCTCCGGGGTGATCCTGCCACCTTCCGTCCGCGTGGCTGGGGAGGAGAAGGCCCCCGGGGTCCGTGGAACCATCTTGACCTCAAGCACGTGCTTGGCCACCACCTGCAAGACCGTCTTGTTCCTGACCCTCTCCTCCGACAGGCACTGGTACACCCCGCTGTCTCCGTCCGACAGGTTGAAGATGAGCAGGTTCCTCCTCCCCACCAGGCCGTACTTGGGGCTCTCGGCCTGGAGCTCCCTGTCCTGGAACTTCCAGGCCACTCGCGCCAGGTTGGACTTTTGGGGGCATTTGAGTTCCGCTGTGCTGCCGTGCTTGAAAAAATGCTGCCGATAACTTTCCTTAATTTTATCTGGAACATCAAAATAAACGTGCACAGTGTCAACAACCCCGCTTGCTACTTAGTTTCTTTCAAAAACAGGTCAACAGCCCGGGCGGTGTGGCTCAGTGGTTGAGCGTCGACCCTGCACCAAGAGGTCGTCGGTTCAATTCCCGGTCAGGGCACGTGCCCAGGTTGTGGGCCCGATCCCCAGTGGGGGGAGTGCAGGAGGCGGCCAACCGATGTTCTCTCTCATTGATGTTTCTATCTCTCTCTCCCTCTCCCTTCCTCTCTCTCTAAATCAGTAAAGAAAAAAAAATCGATCAGTGCGCACAAGAGGACACAGAGTTCCCCCACAGGAGCAACGCGGGATCTTCCAGAACAGCTAAGGAGACAGACATGCAGGAGCAAAAAGCAAAGAAGAGCCCTGGACGGCAGCCCATGGGGACAAAGAACCCGGAAGCACGTCTGGGCAGAACTCCCGGTCCACACCCGGCATCCCGGGAGAACACGTGTGGGGGAGGCTGAGCGCCCGCAGGTGAGCGTGTGGACGGCTGCACTCGGAGTCCCACACGACACGCTCCGCCAGCGGCCACCGCACACAGCCTGGCGGTGCCCTCCTCCTCCATTTGTCTCCACTGACGACGGCTGTCAGCTTGGGGACTCTAGGGCGGGAGTCAGGACACACCTGGCCCCCCAGCAGGCAGGGGTCACCCAGGGGACGCCACCTGAGCCTCGACCTGACTGCTGGAGGACTGACCCTTCCTGGGTCCCGAGGTGCAGGTTTGGTGGACAAGCCCGAGCTAAGGGGAGAGATGTGTCTCCAGGGCGGACACTACAGTTGGGCAGAGAGTGCTTCCCAGTAACAGATAGACCTGTGTGGCTTCAAACATCCTTTTCTGCAACAAAAGGTTCAGAGAAAGGTCAGGCGGTCGGCCAAGAGATACCTGACCTCTGTTCTGAGTGGAAAGAAAGAAGGTGTGAAATGCCACGGCACCCAAGCATCACGAAATGGTTACAAGACCAGCCGTTCTTGGAGGGAGCGAGGGAACGAGCAACTTACCGGGGCAGGTGGACGCATCCCCACTCATGTCCTGGATCAGACCCCTGCAAAACATGGGCACAGAGTACGCATGTGCCCCTCATGGGGAGGGGCGGGCAGAGCATGTGCCTCCCCGCTGGGTACCTGCTGGGGCTGTCGGTCTGGTGCAGGGCCACGCAGGCCCCCGTGGCCGAGCTCCAGGCACAGTAGGGGTCCCGGGCCAACACGCAGTCCTCACAGGTGCTGTGCTTCCCACAGAAGGCCACGGGAGCCTGGACCACGCCCGAGTTGGAGCCCGCATAGATGAACCTTCTGCCCTGAGGGTGTAAACAGACGAGACCGGTGGGCCCAGGGCAGCCAGCACGTGACGGTGCCAGGGGCTTCTCCTCCACCCGCAGGGGCAGCAGTGCTTCCTGGAGGGGAGCCCCTCGCTCAGAACTGGGCCAGGCAGGTCCTGCTCCGGACGAATCCGGTGCGGCCTGTGACGAAGTGAGCAGCGCACCGTTCGAGCAGAACGTGCTAATTCAGAAGGCACTGGGCCTCGGCCTGGCCCCCTCCCTCCAGTCCAGGCACCCCCGCACCCCGACCCCCAGCACAGCACATCTCTGAGCCCGTTCAGCGCCCTGGGAGCAGACCATCAGCCAGACTCGCCAGGCCTCACCACAGTCCTCCCCAAGGCCACAACCTCAGAGCCCAGCGTGGGCACTGGGGTGTGGAGAGCTGTGTCCCAAGCGTCTGAACCCAGACGCCCAGAGCTTGGAGGGCAAATGCAGGTGGCTGGCGAGGAATCACAACGCTGGTGAACAAAATAAAAGCAGCCACGAGGCCTCTGCCTGTCACGTGTCTGCATTCAGACGCAGAGCGAGGCGGGCTCCTCGGCGCGCTGAACGCTCGGTTTGGGATGCCCCCCCCCTGACCACCCGTTCCAGTGCCCGCTGCTGGCAGGGCCTGGCGCACAGGCCGTCGGGACTGGCTGGTGTCCTCACTGAGCCTGGCCGGGACGAGGCCCCAGACGAGTCCACCCCACACCCCCAGGGCTTGCAGTTCGGGGGCTGTCTGCCTGGTTAGCCCCAGAGGACGCCAAGTTTACACAGCACTGAGTATTTAGACTCAGATGAGACACAACAGCTGTTCCCCTCAGACGCCAGGTCTGAATGAACTTCAGAGTCTGGCTAGAGCGCAAGTCCCTGGTGTGGCCCCAGATGTCTGGGCCTGCGATGCACCCAAGGTCACAGACCCACCACGAGCGACCAGGGCCAAGAGACAGGGACGGTCCCCTCCGCAACACACTCAAACTGCAGGACAGGCAGCAGAGAACGCCAGGCCAGTGCCCGCGTGCCCGCCAGTAGAGACCTGGGCAGAAGAGGCCACAGGCCACTGGTTGGGGACTGAGGGCGCTGTGGGCCGGCCAGGGAACCACAGATGAAAACGTGTCCTGGGGCAGAAGACCAAGGGGGCAACTTCACAGGCCACCAGGACCTAGCAAAGGTATGGGCCCTCGGCACAGAAAGAGTGACCCAAGGAGCACCCCGACATGTGGTCCTGGAGCCCGAAATGACACTGCAGGAATGCGGGCAACCAGCGCTGGGCCCGGGGGGGCCACAGAGCCCCCGTTAGCCGGGCTGTGCTGGTGAGGGCCTGCGGGGACTCCCTGCACTGCCTCCCACACCCCTCCTTGAATTTAAAATGTCTTCACAAGAAAACATGTTAAAGGTGAAAAAGACCTTCCTGACGAGGGATTGCCCAGCGTCTGAGGTTTGCTGAGAGCATGGCTGGCCCTCTCCCCGACCCCCAGGGCCCCAGCTCCTCTGGTGACTCCTCGACCACAGCACAGGGCTCACAGTCAGGGCTCGGTCTCTGCACAGGGGCCACGTACGACCCAGAGCTGAAGGAGCTGGTTAAGGTGTCTTCTGTCCTTTGCCGGCTGTCACTCCCAAAGGGTGTCCCGTGAACACGAGACACAGCCGCTCTGTGAGCTCCAGACGGCTGTGCAGCACGCTCGCCGTGGGTTCCCCAAAGCTCCGGCAGCAGGGGCCCAACAGACACCTGCATGTATGATCACAGCACCACTGTCCACGAGGCCTGGCGGGGAGCAGCCCCGTGTCCGTCCGTGGATGACCAAACAAAAAGTGCTCCATCCGCACAGTGGAGGATCATTCAGTCTTAAAAAGGAAATTCTGTCCGGCTGGTGTGGCTCAGTGGTTGAGTGTCGACCCTGCACCAACAGGTCACTGGTTCGATTCCCATTCAGGACACATGCCCAGGTTGGGGGCCTGATCCCCAGTGGGATCATGCAGGAGGCAGCCAACTGATGTTCTCTCTCAGCAATGTTTCTCTCTCTCCCTGTCCCTTCCCCTCTCTTTAAAATCAATAAAGGAAAAAAAAAATTTAAAGAAAAAAAAGGAAATTCTGACACATGCTCCAATCTGAGTGAACCTGAGCCTTATGCTGAGCAAAGTCCGTCACAAAAGGACGGATACATGACTCCACTCACACGAGGTCCCTGGAAGAGTCAAACTCAGAGATGGGCCGCAGAGTGAGGAGGGTCAGGGGACCGGGGCGTTGGTATTCAATGGAGACAGGTTTTTGGATTTCAAGATGAGAAGTTCTGAGGACGGATGTGGTGACGGCTGCGGGACAACGTGAACGTACTTGATGTCACTGCAGTGTACATTTACAAAGTAAAAATGGCAATTTCTGTGTGGTGTGTATTTATCACAACAGAGACCAGATGCCCTTGCTGGTGGGCAGAGGGAGCAGCGACAAGAAGCGGGCTGTCGTCCGTGCCCACAGCAGCTGTGGCAGCTTTCTGCCCCAGGGCCAGGCGTGCCCGGCAAGGAAGGCCTCGTTGGCGGGGAGCACGGGGGGCTCTTTCTACCCGCAAACACCCACTTCCTGCTGGCAAGCCCTCCCTGAGCCCACCAGCCTGTGGAGAAGGCGAGGGGGCCACGGCACGCAGGTGCCGCCCCAGTGCAGAGGCAGGAAAACCACTCCCCGGCGGGCCAGGCTTCCTGCGTGGCCAGCTCCCACTCTGGGCGTGGCCATGAGTCCGGGCTCAAGGCATGAAGCACAGGACTGACCCGTAACCACCCACACCTGCCCCTGCCCCCTTCTCTCCAAGTGCCCCAGGAGCCTTGGACTCAGGACGGCAGGGCCAGCCTGGGTCCCTGGAGGACACCGCAGAGCAGACAGGGCTGCGTCCTCGCTGCCCGTCTGCACTGGGGCCCGGCCTTCGTTCTAACGAACATTCACGACTCGGCGTCTCCAGCCTGCCACCCCACACCCGAGCAACGTGGTGGCCGCCGGAAGGGCTTCCGGGGCTCCTTCTACAGTGCCAGGGGCCCCGTGTGGAGCTGAGGGAGGAGGGGCTGCAGTGGGCCTGGGCCGGGCAGGAGGGTTGAGGGGCTGGGGAGCTCCCTCAGTGCCTGGACAGGGATGGCCACTCGGGAATGCACCAGGTCAAACCGAAAGGCTCAGCAACAGCAGCCTCGGACAACGGCCGGGTCCAAGGGTCCAGGCTCGGAAACAGGCTGGGAGAGGCCGCGTGCTGGGTGGGCCCACAGCCAGCCAACGGGGAGGGACGTGGGCCACCTCCAGGTTCTAGCATTAACGCTGGCACTGCCAAGGCCCCAGAGCCCATCAGCTCAGGGGGCACGGCGGGGGTACCCACAAGTGAGGTCTTCCGCCATCGTCACAGGGGGGACAAGGCAGCCCCTCCTGCACGCACTCTGCTGTGCCCACTGTACAGATGGGGAAACGAGGCAGGACCAGCTGCTCAGGCTCCCACGCTCAGGGGTGGGACCAGGCGACCTGGGGCTCAGCCTGCACTCTGCCCCACACGCATGCTCCACCCAGCTATCAAACGGGCGCCTGCGCCCCAGGCCGTGGTGGATGGACGCCAGGAGCCGTCCCGCTGCCCGCGGGGCAAGTCCAGCCCCCTCGCTGTTCCACTGCTCATAGCAGATTTTGCATTTTTAATTGACGAACACGCACAGGAGTCTTTGTGACATGAAATGAAAATGTCACGCCCGGCAGGTTCAGTGCCCGTAACTGAGGCTTGGCAAGGGGCAGACAGGCCGAGCCTGTGCTGCCGGCGGAGCAGGGGACAGGGGCCCTGAGCCTCATGGTCGAGGACCTTTACAGAGAGGTCTGCTGGCCTTACGCAGGGTTAGCGCCTTGCGGAAGGGGCGGGCGCGGTGCCAGAGCCAGGAAGCAGCGCACTACTGACGGGGCCTCCCCCTCGCCAAGCTCAGGGCAGGGGAAGTGTGGTCGTCGTAACTCAGTGCGGTCCTGCCGACTTGCAGGAGAAAGTTACATCTTCCCAGACTGCCTGCCCTCTGCCCCAAACCCCACGGAGCACAGGACTTTCTGTAAGAGCCCAAAGGTGGCTCCTCGGGGCTAGGCGGATGAGGGAGCCTCCCGGCTGCAGCGCCGCGGCCACAGCTGCACCCCACCCAGCTGCACGGCAGCGCTACCTTCTTGGAAGACAGCAGCAGGGTCTGCACGGGCTCCAAGTCCTGGAAGAGCTGAGTCTCCTCGATGATATGGACGTCGTTGTCCAGGCTGACGGCTTTGTGCAGGGCGCCCCGGTCTGCAAGGTGAGCTCAGGTCAGCGGCCGCCTGGCAGGAGAGGATGGCACTGCCCCATCGCCCAGAGCTGTCAACAGTCGTCCTTCCTGCCCTGGCCGGTGTGCTCATCGGCCCGCGGGCCACAGACACCTGGGTTCGGTTCCCGCTAAGGGCACGTATCTCGGTTGCAGTTGGTCCCTGGCCCCGGTTGGGTTGTGTGGGTGAAACCAGTCAATGTGTCTCTCTCACATTGATGTTTCTCTCTCTCTCTTCCCCCCTCTCTCCCTCCTGCTCTATCTGAAGATAAATGCAAAAATGTCCTCAGGTGAGGATAAAAACAAACAAAAACTTGCCCTTCCTCCTCACTACTCCTTCCTTGCGTAAGACATGGACATAGGTGGCATTTTGCATCAGAAATGGAGAAGAGGCCACAGCAAAATAAACAACAGAAATCAAGCACCATCAGTTACCCGGTGTTTCCTGAATAAACTAGTATCTCAGTGTCAACACCACACCCTTATCAGCTCAGCCGGCTCTGTGGTAAGACCAACCTACAGTGGTTCTGGGGCTCCACCAGTCCCCTGGGGGCCATCCTGCGGCCCGGCAGGTGGGGGCAGGGCCCTTCCTGCTGCGCGGAGGCTGGAAAGCACACAGGGTGACCTTGGCACCCAGCTGCCGCACCTGGCCACGGACACCCATTCCAGAAACATGTTTCCTAACCCGTGGGCTTCCGGGAGGCAGGACTCCCACTGCAGGCCAGGGCAGGCCGGAGGGAGGTGCCCCTGCCCGCTCCCAGCTGTCGGCTGGCTCCTGGCACCAACCCAGACTTACCAGACCCGAATTTCCAGATCTGGGCCAGGACTCGCATGTCCACCCAGCGCCCCAGGTGGTCTGATGGGCACAGAGATCTGAAGCCACTCAGGTGTGGAGACTTCTCAGAACACAACTGCCCAGCTCCACCCGCCCAGGTCAGCTGGGTTTACCGAGGTGATTGCCCAGGCCCGGGACCCACCGGTGCTGATGAACATGACGTCGTAGACAGTCCCATCCAGGGCCTGGGTCCGGTCTACCGCAATCTGTGTGTAGTTCACACCGCTTTTGACTAGCCTGGGCCTGTTGTCCAGTGGGGTCACCGAGTCATCCATCAGGGGGTGGTCTTTGACAAACTGCAGCGTCTTGTCAGGCAGACTGAGGGAGCTGGAGAAGTTGGCCGCCCGCGCCTCGCGGTTGATGCACTGTGGGGAGAGACCAGAGCCGTCAACGGCACGGATGAACGGCCCGCACGCTCTGCCCCAAGCCGGGCTTTGGGAGGCGCAAAACCCCGGTTCCACAGAGCATTTCTTTTTTTTTTTTTTTTTTATCCTCACCCGAGGACATTTTTCGATATTTTGTTCAGATAGAGTGAGAGGGAAAGAGAGGAAGAGAGAGAGAGAAACATCGACGTGAAAGGGACACACCGAGTGGCTGCCACCCGCACGACCTGACCAGGGCCGGGGACAAACTGCAGCCGAAGCACATGCCCTTAGCGGGAACCGAACCCGGGTCTCTATAGACCGCAGGCCAACCCTCCAACCGCTGAGCCAAACCGGCCAGGGCAGAGCATTTCTTGAAAAAGGGGAAAAACCAAGCTGGCTCTACCGGGACTCTGAAGATAGTCAAAGAGCAGCTAAAAATGCAACTGTCTTTTCATCCGTAAGATACAATGATGTTTCATGACACAGTCGGTGAGATAATTCTATTTAAAAAAATTTTTTTTCTTTATTGATTTTAGAGAGAGAGGAAGGGAGAGAGAGAGAAACATCGATGAGAGAGAACATCGACTGGCTGCCTCCTGCACGCCCCGACTGAGGATCAGGCCCACAACCTGGGCATGTGCCCTGACCAGGAATCGAACTGGTGACCTCTTGGGGCATGTGTCACGCTCAACCACTGAGCCACACCCGCTGGACTAATTCTTATCTATTTATAAATAAAAAAAGTATGAAGCTTTTGAAATACAAAAATAAATATGTATTACTCCCATAAGAAGAGAAGACTGGTAGAAAAAAATCACTAGCCCTGGCCGGTGTGCTCAGGTTAGAGTGTTGGCCCAAGTTCCGGAGGGCTGTGGTTCAATTCCTGAACAAGGGAATGTAGCTGGGCTGCAGGTTCGATCCCCAGCTCCTGTTGGGGTGCATTCAGGAGGCAACCAATCGATATGTCTCTTTCTCCCACTTCCTCCCTTCCTCCCATTCACTCTCTAAAAATTAATGGAAAAAAAATATCCTTGGGTTAGGATTAACAACAACAACACAAATCACTGAAAACTGTCCAGTCCTAACGGCACAAAGGTCAAGAGCATGAAGAACTCCTTCTTCTGTCCCGGCTCCTGATGTGCACAACTCCAGACCCCAAGTGAACACGTTCCGCCTAACAACACACACAGAAGAAACAGTCACCGGAGACTGGAGGGAAGACAGCCCGGGGCAAGCCCCGGGCACCAGGCCACCCCTCAGGTCCCAGCCCGCTGCCCCGGGCACAGAATGAGGACACATTCAAATTGACCAACACATGAGTTGGCCTGGAAACTGATTTCTACATAAAATTCACTCAAGAGATAAAGTGTGGCTCAGCTGGTGTGGCTCAGTGGTGGAGCGTCGACCCTGCACCAAGAGGTCACCGGTTTGATTCCCGGTCAGGGCACATGCCCAGGCTGTGGGCCCAATCCCCAGTGGGGGGCGTGCAGGAGGCGGCCTGTCGATGTTCTCTCTCACAGATCTTTCTATCTCTTGCTCCCTCTCCCTTCCTCTCTCTCTAAAATTAATAAAGAAAAAAATTTTTTTTGAAGAAAGAGACAAAGTGTGGTTCATATTAATGAATGGAGACTACAGCTCATGTCTTTGCCAAGAAATCGTGTCCTTCTCAACAGGAAACAGAAAACGAAACAGATCTAATATGATGTAATGTCAATTCCAGAAAGCACCGCGCCGGCCAGAAGAGACTCCTGCTGGGGCTTGATTCCAGCAGCGGTTGCGCAACATCCCAGCGTCGGAGCACAGGACGGGCACAGAGTGCCTGTCGCCCTCCCAGCCCCGGGAGAGGCCCGCTGCCTGTGACAGACACACCGCATGGCCCAGGGGCCCAGCATGGCAGGTCCCGCAGCCCCGGCCCTCACTCACCGCCCCGGGCCTAGGTGCGGGCACCGCCCCGTTGTAGCGCACCCACTTGGTGTGGGACTGCTCCACCGTGGCGCTCTGCATGTACTTCCCTCGGGAGAAGACCGCCTCGGCCGTGGACAGGTTGTACGCGCACACGGCTGACAGGCCCACGTTGTTCCTAGGGAGGGAGGACCATGTGACTGCCTGCAGGGTGGGGGTGGGCAGAACACCCGACCGCCCCGGGACTCACAGCTGTGGGGTGAAGACCCCGTAGAACACGGGCTCCTTCAGGCCTGGGGACCTGAGGACGAAGACAGCCCGCAGCACGTTGAAGACGAGGTTGCTGTCCGGCCTGGCGCAGATGAGCCTGGCCTTCAGGAAGGACGTCCACTTCTTCTGTAAGGTCCTCAGCCCGCCCTGGTCCCCCTGAAAAGCAAAGATGCTCGTGGTAGGACAAGGGCAGACTCCTGGGTACAGGAGACAAGCTGGGTGCTTGGGCCCAGAGCAGCTCTGCCTGAATGAAATGAAGCCACGGCTGAAAAAGCGAGCCGGCTGCAGACAGCTACGTGACGCCTGCTCCTTCCCTGCCGCTCGGACCGTGCGTGAAACAAAATCGAACCAACGAGACCCCGCTGACAAAAGCCACCACGGCAGCTAGAACAAGGGTCGGACTCTGCCCACGTTCCACTTCACAGTGGTGTCCTTGCACTGTTGTGGCTCTGCCCTGTGGCCTGTGCGTTTCCAGGCTCATGGCCTGCCCATGAGTGACCCACGGAGCCGGGGGCCAGCCTGTCTGAGGCCAATGTGTGCGGTCTGGTCTTCCCCAAAGACATTCCTACAGGAGAGAAGATCGTCACTTCCTTCCCACCCCACTAGTTTCCTGCTAACACGCTTTGGCCCTGCCAGGGTCTCCACACACACTTTTCCGTGACAGTCATGGAACCCATCAGCCGTGACTTGGTCTGGAGAGAAGTACAGAAACTGAGAAATATCGGGCTGAGGGATATGAAACTGACGCACCCATACCTATTTTGGACACAAAAGAAATGACCCCCTCCCTGTCTTTACACTGGAGTGGTGAAATCCAACGACACCAGAGTTTGGTTAATGTGGTGAACAGAAGTAACCTTCTGTAACCCAGGCGAGGTCTGAGGAACGTGTGTCCAAGGCAGACCTCCTGAGGACAGGAAGCCAATCACCGGTCACTCGGGGGTGCCAAAGTCCTCCAGTCTCCCGAGGAGGAAGGACCGGCCACACGGACCTCTGTGGCACTGAGGGACAGTGTGGTAGGTAAACTGACCTTCTGGGGGAGTGTGGGACCTGGCGAGGTGCTGTCCCCACAGGCACGGGGGAAGGGACGCGGGGAAGTGGCCTCACCTTGCACACCCTTGCTACACGAGGGATCATCAACTTGAGGACGAACTCGTACTCCACGGACACCTCCGTGAAGAAGAAGTAGACCCTGTCGTCCCCGCCCTCGGGGCTCTCGGGGCTCTCCCGGATGACAGCGGCATGCACGAAGCTGGGCTCTGCGGGCAAGAGGCACTGGTGACCCCCCACCCTGAGGAGCCTGGGCGCCCCTGCACATGCAGAAGGTCCCGGGCACATCCCTGCGCATACGGAGGGACCAGGCATGTCCCCGTACACCTTCCCTGCAAGACGCAAGACACATGCCCCAAACTGCAGGGTCCAGGGGTGATCACGGTGCCCATCGTGCCCTCCTCAGCCCAGGGGTGCCCTGGGTGTGGTTCTGAAGCACTCTCCTGGTCCACCCCAGAACCCAAGGACGGGCCTCCCAACTGGCAGGCAGCCGGGGCCGGGAGAGCCAGGTCCCGCCGCCCAGAGACACGCCAGCACGTGTGCACAGGCCTCGAGCAAACTGCTGACCCCCAGATCCAGGCCCCGATGCTCTGGGTGCCCAGCTGCCCCACACAGAGGAGGGACCCGCTGCCCCTCAGGTCGCCAGCCTCGGCGAGGCCAGCCGACAGTCCTGGAGGCTTCCGAGCCCAGGCCGGCTGGCGACGCCCACGAGGAAAGTCTCGTCTGAGTGGCCTCAAGCCAGCTGCACCGTGAATGTGATGTGGACACATGCTGTCCGAAAGCAACGAGACCACCACACACCCATGTGACAGTCTGCGCTCCCACCGACCATCAGACAGACTCTGTGGAAACCTCCCAGAGCGATCATCCGGGGGGTGAAGGTGGCCTTGGAAGCTTGGTGGGAAGGGACACAGGGGGCCCCGGAAGCTGCCTGTGCCCCAGCCGACTAGCACCCAGGGCCACGAGGTCGAGCCAGAAACATGTTCTGGAAATAGAGCACTGTGGGGCAACCCCGCCAGGAGGCCACCCGCAGAGGCCATCCGCGCAGACACGCTCCTTCCGGGACACCCCCGCTTCTTACCGTTGAGCCAAGGTATCGCGTACTCCGTTCTCAGAGGACTGTGGGAAGAGTTTCGGGAGATGATGGGCTCGCTTCCCAAAAAGTTATAGGACGTCCCGGAATAAAGCTCCCCATCTTCGGGGCCCATGAGGAAAGAGAAGGGCGTCAGCACCAGCTGGGGAGGACGCTCAGCCCCTTCCTGTTACCCTGACACGAGCCCGCCCAGACACAGACCGCCACCTGCCTCAGCGCCACGCCTCTCTGTTCGTTTCTTTGACATGGAGCATCTCATGCTGCTTGTTAACCGGTGTTTTATGAGAATCAGGGGTAATAATTAACAGGAGCGAATAATTCCCCCTTCAGGAAATTAGCATGACAGTGGGTGCAAGAGGCCCTGGGCTCAGCCACAAGCCCCCTCGGCACGGGAGCCAGCGAAGGCTCCCTGGACCAGGGGACGATGGGTATGAAACCACCTCTCCTGCAGGTAGTTGTGGGCGGGGTGGGGCTGGCTCTCCTTTGAGCAGTGAATTCAGAAGCTCATGCCAGGGCCTAAGCAGGGGCACACATGCCCTGGGGGCAGGGACTGCAGAGGGAAGCAGGGGGCTATGGAGGAGGGGCCGGCACCGCGACAGTGACAGCACCCCGGACCTGGACTCACCGACCATGACAGACGTGTAGCTCTGTGCAGGGTCAAAGGGACACCTTCCTTTGCCATCTTCATTTTTCCCCAGAAACCGAAACGATGTCAGGTTCTACAATTGAGTGAAAAGAAAGTATCATCCAATGCCTGCATTTCGTCGTCATAACGCGTCTGTTGCAGCACTCACTTTATTAACATTTTATTTTCTTCATTGATTTTTAGAGACAGAGGAAGGGAGACAGAAACATCGATGAGAGAGAACATCGACTGGCCGCCTCCTGCATGCCCCCCACTGGGGATCGGGCCCACAACCTGGGCATGTGCCCTGACCGGAAATCGAACCAGCGACCTCCAGGTTCATGGGTCGACGCTCAACCACTGAGCCAACCGGCTGGGCCCAGCACTAACTTTAGACTCACAGGTCATGGGCATCAAGGGAAGAACACATGTGCAACTGGCAGAGGGGTCCCAGGTCTGGGCGCCGTACCCCGAGACTGGTTCTGACACCCTCGAGAGCTATCCAGATCTTGACACCCCAGCTTTCGTCTGTGAGAGGGAGACGGCAGCCCTCTAGTCTTCAAGTCCTGCCTTTTCCACTTGACCAGACCTGTGCCACAGCCAGGCCTCCCTCACAAAACACAAACATGGCAAGACGCTGGATCAGGGCACGTCAGGGCCTCCTTCTATCAACAGTGCACTCCCCAGAGGTCCCCCCACGGCTGCTGTGACCAGGGCCAGGGTCCCTGAGTCCTGCCCACACCCTGTCCTCAATCATGATCGTCTGCAGACAAGACATGGAGTCTAAAGGAGGCTGACAGTGGGCCTGAGCTGCCCCTCCTCACACGCTGCCAGTTAGAATAGCCTTCTGCTGTGCAGACTGGGGACCACCTGAGGCCTGCCGGGGGCCCCATGCCACTTCCACACCAACCAGGGGAGGGCCCGGCCTTACCAGGTGGTCACAGGCTGGCTGGAAGGCATTGGTCCCGCACACGTACAGGGCAGTAGCGCTGAGTGGCTGCAGCACTCGGATGTAGTTGAGACATTCAGTCTATAAGGAAGAAAAATGCAGGTTAACCAGCACCAGCCCCCAGGCAATGCCCTCCACACCCACTGGTGACCTTGCTCGCTCCCGAGCTCGGCACCAGCAGAGCGTGTGCCAACATCGGCTCTCTGAGGAGCAGCTCCGCGCTGACTAGGCCCTGTGCTGCCCGCCGGGTGCTCCGTCCGGCACCGCCCGCCCTGCGCCACAGGGCAGCAGGCTCAGAGACCCCCCTGCCCCAGGCGGACCTCAGTGTGCAGCCCGCCGAGCGCTGCGCCTGCAATGTCCACAGGCTGGCTGTCAGGTGCCAAACGGGTTTCACTGCAGCCACTAATCTATTCCCAGAAAAGATGTGCTGGCCGCTAAAGCAACGAAAGCTGACCTCAAACCTCACCCTCCTACCACAGAAAAAGCGTTCAAACTCTGAACGCGCTGACCGTGCCTTGTTGCCAGACCTGCGGAGGTGCGTGCTGTGCAGTTCCCCGGGGCCTCCTCTCTGGGGGACCCCACTTCCCTGCCCCAATGCGTGACACTGGAAACAGTGCTTGGGGGTCAGCTGTGCCCAGCCCGCCCAGCCCAGAGGAGCCTGGCTGCACATCAGAAAGGCCTGCAGGAAAACCAGGTACCACTTAAACACCCACTGGCTATTTTAGACTGAAATGTACTTGGATTATATGTGCTAGCATCTGAAATTACCCCACTCAGGAGCAGTTTGTAATCTGGCTGGAAGTGGTCCCCACTCTCCCACAAGAGCGGGGAGGCCCCGCCGCACAGCCTCAGCGCGGCCGGCAAAGCTCCGCCCTGATTTAGCTTGGAGACCGCTCCTGAGGACAGCTGTTATTACATCGGAGGCTGCATTTTCCCTCATCTCCTAGTAACTTTAGATTCAGTGACTTTAGTTACAGTATTTAGCATTTTGCTAAAAAAAGTCTAGCCAAAAAAAAAAAGGTACTTGTCCTTTTGAAAAAAGTTTTGTTTTGAAAATAGCCAACAACTACTGAACTTTACATAAGGTAGCTGTGTAATCAAGACGCTGACGTCTGCCCAGCACCAGCTGGGGGCAGGGCCGGCTGTCCAGTGGGTGGGGGTAACCCAGAGCTCCGGAGGGAGATGGATCCTCAGCCCAGCCCTCCACGCAGCCCCATGCCGACACCCAGCCCAGTGCTCCCCGCATGGCCAGAACACTGAGGGGCCCGGTACCTCCAGGAGATGGGGCAGATTCTCAAGGGATGAGTGTTGCCGAAAATCCAGGAATCGTTTTCCAGTCTAAGTTATAGACCATTTGAATAGATTCAATTCAATTACACTTTATTAAAACATTTTTTTACTTTATTGATTTTTTTAGAGAGAGAGGAAGGGAGAGGGAGAGATAAAAACATTGAGAGAGAACATGGATTGGCCGCCTCCTGCATGCCCCCACTGGGGATCGGGCCCACAGCCTGGGCGTGTGCCCTGACCGGGACTCGAACCGGCGACCGCTTGGTGGCTGGGTCGATGCTCCACCACTGAGCCACACCAGCCAGGCCAGTTAAACTTTTAAAAGTATTTTTAAGATGCCTACGATGTGTGAGTCTTTCCGTGAGGGGCCCAATCTCACCGTCGGAGTGGGAACACAGAGTAGGCACCTCACGGGAGACCTAACAGATGCCCAGGTGGCGCCCACAAGGAGCGGGGTTCAGACGACGCAAGCCGCGAGGTATTACCTGTGTGCTGTCTGCAGCTCGCAAAAGAAATTACCTGTTTTGATTTCCCCTTTTCCGCGCATTTTGCCTGTTTATCTTCTGAGACCTTCCAATATGCCTGTCGGGGGAACAAGAGCCCACTGAGTGCACAGCCCCCTTCGGAAAGCAGACCCTGGCAGAGGAACGTTCCGTTTACGAAGCACACGGTGGCGTGAGCAGACATCTCCCGAGAGGCCGAGCCTGCAAAGCCAGGCGAGGGGGCAGACGCTGAGGCCAGCGGAGCCTCTAGGGGCTCCTCGTCTCAAAGTCAGGGGCCTGGAAGGACCTCCCAGATCCCCGTTACTCACTGCAAACAGCAGCAAAAACTAAACTGCCAGAGAGCGGAGCTGTAGGTGCTTCCAAACATCAAAGTGGGCTTCTTCACTCCATTCAAGAGTGACTCACGTCCGGAGCGGGAGCCTTGGCCTGCACCTCCGCTCAGCACAGGTGGCCGTGGTTCTGCGGATTTTACACGCAGCAGCCGCGACTCTGAAGGACAGGCGCAGGTCGAGCACCGGGTGGACCCCTGAGCAGGACCGGCAGGCCGGCGGGCCCCTCGCCCCCCAGAGGATGGAAAGCCACAGGCCACAGGACCGCGGGCCGAGGGCCTCCACTCCCTGCCCCTCCTTCCTGAGCTGTCCACTGCCCACGTGCTACCCGGGACTGGCGCCAAGCAGGTATGCTCCACCCAGACGGCCAGTCAGCGTCCGGTCGGAGGCCAAGCACACAGGCTCTGGGCGGCGGGGACGGATCCCGCCATTGAGCACCCCACACTAACGGCTCCGCGGCCTGAACAGCAGGCATGGCCGCAGCACAGTGTGTTTTCAGGGACACAAAGTCCCCATCAGGACACATGAAAGCAGAATCAAGTCCCGAAACAGCAACTTCCTCCAGAAACTAAAATGCAGGTACTTCACCCTCATCTACACGGGACCATGACATACCGGGACAGGCCCTGGATCGCGCACACGGCCTTTGCAGAAGCCTGGCCGTGCCTTTCACTTTCTCTTCTCTTTACACAGAGGGGGCCCGGAAGCCTCTCCCTCACCCAAGGGGCTGCAGCAAGGCCATTCAGAGCAACGACCAGCTCTGACCGAACACCCACGAGGTCACACATGTCCTTTATTTGCAAAGGGTAATGACCAGGAGCTCATTTATCTACGCGTCAAACAGAAACTGGTACTATGCTAGACTCTGGAGATGAAGACAAAACCAAACAGAACATAAGGGGCCTGGGGCATAAAATGCTAAGAGGAGAAGATGAGCCTGGACCACCTTGATTTCAGAGACAGAGAAAGCGACACCGACCACTCAGGCCTCACAAGCCCAGGAGAGGCTGCCAGGGGTCAGCGAGGGGACAGTTGGGGCATCACAGGAGGACCTGAGTGAATGCAAATGGATCGAGGGCTTCAGGTGATTTAAATCCAGGAGTCCACGCTCATAGTACAAAATCAGTCGAAACTCACTGCCTCCCTTCAGACAGGCATGAATAGCCAGCGACATTCGCCCCCTGAAGGCTATTTCCGGCTCACAAATGGAGAAGGAAACATTCGGAAAGTCCCATTTCAAAACCCGAGACCACGTGGCTCCAGACCGCAATGGCCAAGGGCCAGGAGGGAGCATCTGCCTTGGTGGCCGGGGGCTGACCGGCCCTCAGCGTGGCTCTCCCGCCGGAAACACAGGGCAGCTCCCGGAAATGGGGACTCGAAGGGCAGAGTGCCCGGGGTCACCGATGGCCCGATTCCACTGGATTCACACTCTTCACGTAGGAGAGAGACTGTGAAACCTGAACGCTGATGATTCAAGAACACTAATTTTTTGGATGTGATAACAGTCTTTTGGAAAAAAGGGGTCCTTTCCTTCACGCGATGCCCAGGGGCACACTGAGAGATGAAGACAGTGTGTCTGAGTTTTGCTTCCAAGCCATGTGGGGGGAGTAGGGGGTGGGGACACGGGGGAGGACGAGGGGCCACCCCTGCCTGCACTCAGTCCCTCTCCTCCTGTGTACCCTCGAGATTGTCCATAATAATAACTTAAAAAACCCAAGCTGAAAAGAGGGTGGTCCCTGGGTGAGGCTGCCAGGGGACACCCGAGGTGGGGCTTTGGGGACAGGAGAGGGGGTTGCTCTTCAGACATGGGGCATCTTCGAGGCCCACTGGGGAAGAGCCCGGCGTGCGGCGAGGCGGGGGCGGGGGCTCGGGCCTACCTCGTGCTGCTGCCGGGAGATGTCAAGTGCACTCACAGCAAACACGGCCTCCCGGGCGCCCACGTACAGGGTGTCCTGGTCCTCGCTCAGCAGCAAGGCCGAGTAGTTGAAGATGCCCGGCTGGTGGAACCGCACCAGCGGCACCTCTGGGGAAAGAGGGGTGGGAGTGAATTAGGTGCTGCTGAGCCGGACACGCCCTGAGCACCTGTTCTCACCTGTGCACAGTCCTGCTGCCGGGGCCGGGTGTGGATCCACGCGGCCAGCCCCCACCAGGGCCGGAGCTCAGGCTCCTCGGGGCGGGGCCCACCCGCTGAGGCAGCCCCAAGCGCAGGGGACCCATGAGGCCCCAGGGTCACGCGCTTGACAGTGCTGTGGTCTGACTCCCCTTTCTGTCCCTCCAGCCCAGAGTTCAAAACCCTGCACCCAGCGTGGTCTCTGGGCAGCATGACCTCCTAGGAGCATGACCTCTAAGTGTGTGAATTCCTAGGAGGTGGCCCTACAGCAGCATAACCACCGGGCAGCATGACCCTGTGACCTCCCAGGAGACCGCAGGCCAGACACCTCAAGCTGCTGCTCCCAGCTCCTCCCAAACCCGTGTCTATGAATCAGCCATAGTTGAGGTGCGTACAGAATTCACCTATTTTCTTATTCGGGAAAGAAAAGTTGTACCTTTCACAAAATCGATTTCAATGACTATGTCCCTTAACCCAGTGGTTCTCAGTCTTCCTAACGCAGGGACCCTCTAACACAGGTCCTCATGTTGTACATGGGCGTGTCTGCATGTGGGCGGACCCGCCTGGAGACGGAGAGAGGATGGTGTCTCGGTTCCTAAGACCACTGGAAATATGTGTTTTCCGATGGTCTTAGGCGACCCCTGTGAAAGGGTCATTCGACCCCAAAGAGGTCGCGACCCACAGGTTGAGCACCACTGTCTTAACCCGAGCATTTTCAGGGATAACCAACACACTTACAAAACAGAGAAAGAAGCGACCTTTTTCCCTTACTAGGTGCTTAATTGATCAACAGCTCTTTAAGACCCAGAAATCAATGCTTAGCAATGAAAGGCAATATGAATATATCAGCATTGCTTCCTTGAGAGCTGTTTCTCCTTTTTATTTTTATTATTACTTTTTAAAAAATTTATTTATTCAGCATCTCTCTCTTTTTTAAAAATCGTCACCTGAGGATATTTTTCCATTTCTCTTCAGATAGGGAGAGAGAGAGAGAGAAAAAACATCGACGTGAGAGACACACCGACTGGTTGCCTCCCGCACAACCCCGACCAGGGCGGGGACGAAGTGCAACCAAGGTACATGCCCCTTGGGGCCCAGGCCGATGCTCTAACTGCTGAGCCAAACCGGCCAGGGCTGCTGCTTCTTTCCCACCGTCCAGCATCAGTGTGAGCATTTCGACCTTGGCTTTCGAGGATCACCAAGCGCAGCTTTCACTCGGGCTAGTTCTCGTCTCCTGCTCATCTGAGCAGTGTGCCGCAGACTGAGGCACAGGGACAAAGGTCTAACAGCACCTGCTGCCCGGAGCTCTGATGGACACCGGCCCTGCAGGCTCCCCTCGCCCAGGGCCACTGGGCCCGGAAAGTGGGTTCCCAGTCCCGAGACACAGCTCCCAGGAGAGGAAATAAATACAAACGAAACTGATGAACAGCAAACGGGAGCCACTGGCCTGAAGCTCAGCGGCACAGCGAATGTCCTCAAAACGGGACACAGTGTGGTTGGGGCCCGGCCAGCGGGCACCAGGCCTCCCCAGGCAGGGAGGTGGGCTTCCTTTCAGGCCCTAACCGAGCAGATCAGCGGGCCCTTCACAAGCCCGGGAGTGTTTCCAGTCACCAAAGCGTCTCCCTGGACACGGCGGTGCAGGCCGCCCGCCTGCTCACAGGTGCCAGGGGCACAGAGCCAGCTGCCAACGGCACACACGCATCAGCACCAGAGCAGACCCCTCAGCACCTGGCGCTTGTCCCTCACCTCTGTGCTCCCAGGTGATCCTAGGTACGGGCGCGAAGGCCACCGCTGCCCCGAGCACCACGGTGAGGGCCGCGAGCAGCCCCCCAGCGGGGACACACATCCTCATCGGGGCCGCAGCAGGGGCTTCAGCAGCAAATGCCTGTGGGCAGCGAGGCCACGGCAAGGGTCCGGGGGGGTCGTTCAGAGCCCCAGGGCTCGGACCCGCAGCACGGCCTGGCGCTGGTGGGAGCCGTGGCCCCCGAGGACCCACATCTCTCAGTTGTGGGGGTGGTTCTCGTCACGGCAGTGGCGCAGGCCCCGGGCCTGTTCCTGAGCGGTTCGCTTCTTTCCCAGCCTCCGGGGAAGCCCTGGAAGAGAGCACAAAGGCGGGCTGCCGTCAGGACGTGGCAACACTGCCCACTGTCTGTCTGTCAGCACCCTCCACAGCTCTGCCCTCCCCCAGCCCAGCGGGCCGTCTGCTTAGAGGCACAGGCCGGCGGGACGAGGGGGCTCCCAGGGGGCAGACACGCACCTGGACGCCCTGGAGCAAAGCCCGAGTTACAGGAGTCAGTGCTTCCCGCCCCTGAGGCCACCAGGACAGACAGAGGGACCCAGAATGGGGGACAAACATCCACCTGGCTGCCCAGCTGTTAACCAGATGGAAAGGAACAGAGCAGAGTTTCAGTTCCCTTGGAGACGTCGGCTTCCAGAATCCCTACTGCGTATCAAGGAAGACGGCACGAGTGAGAGCAGGGGACGCAAGAGGCTGAGATGCGTGAGTGTGCACTCGCGCACACGTGTACATGTGCATATGCACACACATGCACACACATGACCTTGCCTCGTGGGAGAGGCTGACCTCCTGCAGGGGACAGGACCCCACGGCCCGTCCCTCCAGCCTGTGTGCACAGTGGTCATGGCTCTGTCACTGGAAGCACAGGCCTGTGCTGAGGACAGAAACTGGGGCTGGGGGTGCCCAGGCCTCCTGGCGCCACGCTCCGCCTGCCCCAGCGCCACCTGCATGGCCCCCGCAATGAGCTGCAGGTAGCGGTTCCAGGTCCGAAACCAGGCACTCCATCCCGGGTCCGCCCCGACCCAGGGCCCGCAGGATCCCGGCGAGGCTCAGACAGGAAGTCTTCTGACCTCTCAGGAAGAAGCTCCAATGGACACGCCGGCTGAGCAGAGCCAGGGCCCTTGCCCAGCATGGGTGGGGAGCACCACGAAGTCGCAGCGAGCCTACCTACACTGTGCAGACACGCTGTGCCCCGGAGGCTCCATGGGGTCCACGGTGCTCAGCCTCCGCTTCAAGACAGCCCTCCTCCCCCAGGACCTCCACCCACCCACCCCAGAGGCCCCTGAGTTGGCCATCCATCCCCTCTCTTCCTCCCACCCCCACCAAGCCCACCTCTAGGTCTATCCGTCCAACTGACACCCAGGCTCCTTTGGTGACCTTCCCCTCACTCCATCACCGATAGACCCCTGACTCCACCGCGCCTCAGCGACACCCAAGGGCAGCCTTCTTCATTCCCTCCACCACTGAGCCCCCCACCGCACACACCAGAACCTGCCCAGCTGCCTGCCTCCCCCACCCCACTCTCCAACACATCAGGCCAACTCGAACCTCCCAGAGAGTCAGGGAGAAGTTCTGGCTTCCTGTTTACCTAGTTAAGTCACTGCCTCCGGGAAGCCCTCCAGGGTCGTTTCCTCATCCCACCTTTTGCATCTCCTCTTGTGCCCCCAATGTCCTTGTCTGGCCCCCAAAGCCCAGCAGGCAGTATGCTAGTCCTCGGCGGCCCTCTGGGTTTAATAGGGTCTCCTTTACTTTTATTTTCTTTATTTATATATGTGTGCTTGGGGCGCCACCACTGCCCAGCTCCACATCATAAAGGAAGAACTCACAGGGACTTTGCCACTCGGTGACACTGGGCACCACTGGGCCTCATGGGCTCCCTGCCGTCCTCACCCAGCACCACCCCTTCCAGGCCCGGAGGCCCACCTGGCCAGGCCCCCATCCACCGGGCACCTGCTCTCCATCCAGACTGACTGTCACCCCGAAGTCGAGGGGCACCCAGTTCCTCGCTTTCTCCAGGGACTGGCATGTACTGGGTGGAGGCGGAGCCCGTTCCCACAGAGCCGGAGAGGCATTACTGTCAGCTTTTCAAGCCCCGTGGTGCCATCCCAGCTACTGGAGTCCGCCAAGGGAAGGCATGGCTGAGTGCCCACACAGCCATTTACAGACGGGCGCCGGTCTGCAGGCCCGGCCTGCTCTGGGGACCGAGACACGCCCCGCAGCAACAGCGGACCCCGAACTCTGCTGCAACCAGATGCTCCTGGAAGGAGATGGGCTGCCTCGGGGCGTGGCCCCTCTCGACAGAGGGGCTCTCAGAAGTATTCCCCACTGGAGAGACACGACACCCTTGGCCCCTGGCCTTGGGCGGGGACCCCGCTCTCCTGCCCTCCCCTGGGAAGCCAGGCGGGTGGCCAGGCCAGGTCTCTCAGGCTGTGCTGTGCTACCAAGGGGCCCCGCCTGTTAAACACGCCTGGGTGTCTGGCGGCCTGAACGCTCTGCAGACTCCACACAGCCGCAGGGCACGGGTCCCAGCGAGGAGCTGCCTGAGGGTGACGCTGAGCACTGGGGGTTCTAGGTCCTTCCTGGCATCTCCTGGCGCTCACCTCCCAGCCTCACCTCTGCACAGCCTCCTACCCCTTCCCCCGGCTCCCATTCTTGCTGCCTAGGCACAGCACGCTCGTGTCCGCCCCAGAATCCTCGTCCCTTCACGCTCCCTGACAGAATCCTCACTTTCCCTGGCATGGCCGTGTGGCCAGCTCCCCACACCCCTCTGTGTCCTGGGGGCCACTGGGGCCAAACTGCCCGAAGAGATGTTATGAGGCAGGGACTCCAGGAAGGCTCTTCAGAGCGGGCTGGCTCAGCTCTGCGCGCAGCCTCTGCTCCCGCCTGGAGCTCCGAGGCGGTGGCGGCCACCTCGTCAGTGTGAAGACAGGGTCTCATGCGAAGAACCGCCAAGTGGAAATTCACAGACATTGGCCGCCACACACTGGAGACTTGACACCTGCTTACCCCAGAGTTTCTAATAAACTATGAATTCCTTTATTTATTTTTAAAATTTTTTTCTTTATTCATTTTAGAGAGAGAGAGGAAGGAAGAGGGAGAAAGGGACAGAAACACTGATGAGAGAGAACATCGACTGGCTGCCTCCTGCACGCCCCCCACTGGGGTTCAGGCCCACAACCTGGGCATGTGCCCTGACCGGGAATCGAACCAGCGACCTCTTGGTGCAGGGTCGACGCTCAACCACGGAGCCACACTGGCCTGGATATGAATCCCTTTAAATGACTGTTTTTCAGATTTTTGTTAGCAGTAGTCAGATACAATTCTACCCAGATACAACCTCCCTGTAATAAATACAATTAGCCAAGAACAGTAGCAGCCGGAAGAACGTGCCTGACCTAGATCAGCGTGCACCCTCCCCCGTGTGAACTGCTTCTCGCTTGGGTTAGACCCCAGGGGGCGACCTGGGTCCCCCTTCCGCTCAACCGCTCCCACGTCCCACCGCACCACCTTCCTGTCCTGCCCCGTGTGGACATGGGGCTCGACCCCAGGCAAGGCCGCTGCCTCTGAGCACTTCCACGTGCGTCCGTTCCGAGCTCACAGGGGACTGCCTTCGGTGTGACCCATCAGGAAGTGCCAGGGGCTCCCCAAAGCCCCCCCAGCTCCCACACAGGCAAGGTTCCCATGACTGCGGCCAGTCGGCTGTAGAGAGATCCGTGGCACCAGGAGGGAGGCACGGGCGCAGCTCAGCGGACCGGCAGCGCTCTGGAGTGGGGCTGAGACCGGGCGGCCGTGCCTGCGGGGACGGCGGGGGGCACCTGGAACTCCTTGTCCGTTCTCTTCAATTTCCTCGTGAATCTGAAACCGCTCTTACAAATAAAGTTTGTTTAGCACTGGCTGAGCGGCTCAGTTGGTTGGAGCACCATCCGTATACCAAAAAGCTGTGGGTTTGAGCCCGGATCAGGGTACATACCTGGGGTGCAGGTGTAATCCCGGGTTGGAGCGCGTGCGGGAGGCAAAAGGTCCATGTCTCTCTCACGTCCATGTGTCTCTCTCCCTCTGTCTCCCTTCCTCTCTCTCTGACGTCAATAAATGTATCCTCAGGTGAGGATAATAAGTAAATAAATACATTTTATTTAAAAACAAAAACACACCAGCTCGGAGAGGTCCTTTCTGAGCACCTGTGCCCACAGCCCAGCACCCTTCTGGCTACGGGGCGCAGACGTGAGGCCCCCGGGGTGTCTCCTCTCCCCTCAAGCACCCTCACGGAGCTGTCTCAGTTGGAGGAGCATGGTCTGCAGGGGCCCGGTGATCGAACAAATTCTGACCGAGGTCCCGGACCGAAGTCACCCCCCTGGGACAGCCCGGGAAGCGTGCTGCAGCCTGGTTCGGGCGGGGTTTAAGATCCAGACCCGGAGACGGGACCCTCCCTCTGCAACCTGGAGTCCACGGCGGAGACTTATCTCCACTCTCTCCTCAACCCGGGAAAAGAAACTCCAAAAGGACACCAAGCACAAGGGCGCAAGTGGGGCCAGGACAGCCCAGGAGGACACCAGCCAATCTCAGAAATGAGACAGCGCACAGCTGAGCCAACCAGCCAGCCGGGAACTCTGACAGCCGGCTGGGGGGGGGCTGGGCGGGTGGGCGTGTCCTGTTGGGCAGGGCACCGATTTCTGGGGTGAGCGCTGCTGCCTGCTCCCCACATGATGTCACTGAACAGACGGGCGGGGCCCCGAGAGCACAGCATGCGCCCCACAGGGAAGTAGGGTTGTGTAGGTTTACTTTCACCCTTATTTTTAAGTTTATTGATGTTACATAGTTTAGTTTTTGATAACAGTTCCATTCTGCAGACCCAACCGAGCCGGCGAGGGGGGAAGGCCCAGAGAAACACAACCTAAGAACGTAAGTAAGAGCTTACAGATTAAAATGTTGATTAAAGAAAGGAAACACTACGTTGCAGGTCTGAAAAGTAAAACTGGGCGGTTTCCTGGACGCTGGGCAACGCATCGGAGACGAAAATGGAGAAGAAAGATACGCAGGCAGGAGGATGGAGTCAGGAGACCCGCCCCTAACTGACAGGCGTTCCAGGAGAGAGAAGGAGGGTCATCAGGAAAATAACAAAAATATATAAGAATTTATTTATATATCATAAACAGAAGAAAAATGTCCAGAACACAAGGACGCGAAAGCGTCAAGCAGCACAATGAATGGAAAAGTCCCCCTACCAGGCCCGTCCCAGCGACCCCGAGAACCTAGGAGACAAGGGAGCTCCTGAAGCTGGCAGAGAGAAAACAGGTCCCACACCATTACCTCTCTAGAGCCTCGCTGACAGCCAGGAGGCAGCAAAATGCCTTTAAAATCCCAAAGGGGGATGATTTCTCACCTAAAATTCTGTACCGAGACCAATGATCAACCATACAAGTGTAGCAGGAAACATGCATCAAACGTGGAAATTCTCAACATCCTCATCTCCTTCACATTCTGTCTCAGAAAGCTACCTAAGGATACGCTCCACCAGAACAAGGGCATGCTTTCCCAGGTCTCCCTGAGAAGGACGAGCCGGGGAGCGGGAGGCAGGTGCACGCGCGGAGGCCGGGGGCTGGAGGGTGCAGGAGGGAGCACCCGGAGCTCCCACGGGTCTGTGTGCTGGAACACGGGCTTACGGGTCGGGCAGAGCGAGGCTGAGTTAGCAACACGCACAGAGAACACAAAGTTTACACACTCGAGACGAAGCAGTCGCTGATCCCAGGGAAAGCAGGAAGTGGGACTTGGAAGGAAATGTAACCAGTTCGTACTGACCACAGCACAGCTCTGACCGGCGCTGACATGGCCCATCACAAAATCTGCAGCAACGCCACAGGGAGGGTGGGGACGAGGGAGGGGACCCCATCCTCATCTTCCATCGCACTGTTATCCAAAAGAGAAAAATCAGGAGATACCAGCAGAAGCCGTTTAAAGGAAAACACCCCAAATGACTGAAACTGCAGCTCACTGTCTGTCCCAGGGACAACGGGACGAGACTGGAGGATGATACTCTTTCTCCTAAGCAGTGTAAGAACTTCACTTTAAAATCAGGTGCATTAATTACGCTGATAAAAATTAATTAAATTGTTAGAAGAAATCAATGCTCGCCCTGGCCAGTTTGACTCAGCAGCAGAGCGTCGGCCTGCGGACCAATGAGTCACGGGTTCGATTCCAGCCAAGGGCATGTACCTCAGTTGCGGTTCGGCCCTGGTCCTGGTCCGGTCGTGTGGGAGGCAGCCAGTTGATGTCTCTCTATCACATCTATGTTTCTCTCCGTCTCTCTCTCCCTCCTTCCCACTCTATCTGATGATAAATAGAAAAAAAGTATCCTTGGGCCCTGGCCGGTTTGGCTCAGCGGTTACAGCGTCGGCCTGTGGTCCAGAGAGACCCGGGCTCAGTTCCCGCTAAGGGCACGTACCTCAGTTGCAGTTTGTCCCCAGCCCTGTTTGGGTTGTGTGAGAGGCAGCCGCTTGATATGTCCCTTTCACATGCATGTCTCTCTCTCTCTCTCTCTCTCTCTCTCTCTCTCTCCTACTCTATCTGAATAAAAAATGGAAAAATGTCCTCAGGTGAGAATAAAAAATAAAAAAAATTAATGCTCAGGCAGCGACAGCAGCATGGGAGTGAGTGTAAAACACAGTTTGCAGCTCAGAGAGTGGCCAGCAAGGGGCCGGCCTCCCAGACCCTCCATCCCCCAACCTCTGCACATGCTGCTCTCTCTTCTAGAATGTTCTTGCCCAGGGAATCCCTGCAGACCGCCCCACCCCCATCCCCTCCTGCTTTATTTCCTTCACAGCACAGTAAGGACTTGCAGAGGTCTCAGTGCACATGTCCCCGTGATGTGGTCCCTGCTGGGGGGGGCAGGCTTGGGGAATGCAAACATCCCAGTTAGAAGACCCAGGCTGGAGCTGCAGAGAACCACACGAGGCCCAGCGGCAGAACGTCTCGCAGACCAAATACCCGGATGCAGAAGTTTAGAATGGACCTCAAGGGGAATTCTCTTTTGTTTGTTTATTTCCTTTATTGATTTGAGAGAGAGAGGAAGGGAGAGAGAGAGAGATAGAAACATGGATGAGAGAGAACATCAATGGGCCGCCTCCTGCATGCCCCCACTGGGGATGGGCCCACAACCTGGGCATGTGCCCTGACCGGGAATCAAACCGGCGACCTCTTGGTGCAGGGTTGACGCTCAGCCACGGAGCCACACCGGCCTTCTTGACCACAGCTCCCAGGCAGGCAGTGCTGCCCTGACAGACTCACCAGGATGCCGGTGGGGGCCGGGATCTCCTGGCCATGCAGCTGCCCAAACTGGCTGTCACCCTTGGCCTGGACCAACCCGACACTGCCATTCTGGAGCCGGCGGCCGTCCTTCACGGAGATGGAGCGGTTCCTTCTCCAGAAGCACTCTGGCGCCCCAGCAGGCACGGGTTTCCATCCAGCTTCCTGATGGCCTCAATCAGACGCCTCTCATCCCCAAAGGTCTTTTTGTCCCCCATTAATTAATTAATTTTTGTTGCAGATGTTTCTCCTATTCCCCCCCAGACACCCTCCTCCTCATCCTGCTCCCCTCCCCCCACAAGCATTGCCCAGAGGTCTTTAAAACAATCCACACGAACAGCCAGAGGCAGGGGGATCCCTGCAGCAGCACTGGCTTCGCAATCACTGGGGGACGTCGCATGAGGAATCAAGATAATATTCGAAGGGAGGCAGTGCCCATTCTGCTGGCTTTCCCAGGCATGTCTGAGACATGGAGGTGTCCTGTGGGGAGCCGAGCATCAGGACCACCACTGTGCCTTCCCGTGTGAAGTCCTGCCTTTCACACTTAGACAGGGGTCCATCAGGAAGACAGGGTCACACATATGTCCCTCCCATTACCTACACATAATCGTGCTGGCTCATGAGGCGTGCACACTCCCACTTTACATGCCATCACTCAGTGCCAGCCACATGGCAGCGTCCCACCAGCACGGCCCTGAATCAAGCCAAGGGGCTGTGGTAGAGAAAACAGGCTTACCCAGCAAACTGCAAGCAGCAGGGTAAGGGCTAGTACATGCATGTCTGTGTGCACACACCTGTGTGCATACATTACGTGTGCACCTGTGTGCATGTATGCACCTGAGTTTTTGTATATGTGTGCACCTGTGTGCACATCTGTAAGGTATGACACATGATAATCTGTGCATACATGTGTATATATTAGTGTTTGCGTCTGTATGATCATGTGTACCTGTGTGTGCATGCACACGTGCATGTGTGTGTTTACATGCATGTGTGGTATGCATGCAGTCTGTTCTAATCAGCATAAAAATTGAGACCTGGAGTTGCATTCTTAGTTGTGAATAGTGATGGCCAGCTGGGACCCAGGGAGGCAGGAACCGAGGACTGCGGGTGCTTTCTGGGGCCTGTCACACCCGCCTCATGCCTTGGCTTCCCCTCCTGGGACCAGCTGTCTGGGGCAGCAGGGTGGGTCACAGAGGGCACACCACTCACTACCACTCACTACCACACATTAGCGTCAGTGCTCCTGTCAGCAACAGGACGCTCCCTGTGCTGTAAGTGCCCTCGCTGGAGTCCCCAGGGAGCCCGTGAAAGGGGACCCCAGGTGACAGCTGTGGACAATGCTGGGGCCGCCTGTTCAGGCTCTTGTCTACAGGCTTCATACAAAGACACGATGGCTGAAGCTCCCTCCCCCTCCTGGCCCTGTGGCCAGGCCAGTGGAGGGCACACACCTGCCCACGCCTACCCTCCCAGCTGGGAGGAGAGCGAGACAGCCACCAAAGACTATGTCGTACTGATGTCACCCCAGACTGGCCCCAACGCCATGTTCCCCACCTCCACCGCTGCCCCCCCATGTCTCCTCCCCCACTTCATGTCTCCCTCCCCCAACCCTGGTCCCCTCCCCCAACCCCGGTCCCCTCCCTCAACCCCAGTCCCCTCCCCCAACCCCGGTCCCCTCCCCCAACCCCGGTCCCCTCCCCCAACCCTGGTCCCCTCCCCCAACCCTGGCTATGGTGCTGATGTCACCACCTCAAAGAACTGGCCTTGTCCTGGAATCAGGATGGATTTCAGGAGCTCTCTGTGTCATCCGCCTACAACAAAGAGTTTGTTGTTTCAACCGCAGTCTCCCCAGAATTGAGAACAGGTCCTGGGAGCAGCACTCCAGCTACATGGGGCCATCCTCAGACCTGGAGGTGGGCTGAACCCACACTGCCAAAAATCACCCAGGACACTCCTGGGACGCCTGCTTTCCCCTCCGGCCACCTTGCAGGGCAAACTCGCCAATCAGGACACCCGACACGCCACAACCTGTTCCCGCCCCCAAACCCAGCACGTGTCCGCCGTGCATGCAGTGCGTGCCGTGCGTGCTCGTGGGAGCTGGGAAGGGTACAAAGGGCGGCGGGGGAGGGACCCCCCCAACCAATCCACCATGAATCAACCAGCAGTGATGACAGGCACGTGCCGAGGAGGACGTGAGCATGGTGGGTACCTGGGGCAGTGGGACCCCACCAGGCCCTGTAGACTGACGGGCTCAGCAAGCAAGATCCAAAGACGATTGATTTAGGAGGAAAACCTAGGAAAAACCCTCGGGTCATAAACGCCAGGGCTGAGGATTCCTAGTTAATGCAGTGACCGAACACACCAGTACGAAACCGTGCCGCCGGCCCGGCAGCTCAGCCAGTGCAAGCAGCGCCCGGTGCCCGGAAGTGAAGCTGCATCGGGACGCCCACCCCGCGGGCACAGGCCGTGCCCGCACGCATGCCCAGGACCTGTGGCCGCAGACGGCTGACACAGCGCACAGTCCTGCCCACGCTCACGACAGTGTCGGCGAGGACCAAGGAGAGATGGAGTCTTTCCTTTTGTTTTACAAATTAAGCTGGCGTTTCTCTTTCCCCTAAAACTGAAATCCGTGGTGGACCATGTGTTAACCAACCCACACTAAAATGACCCTAAATCCAGGGCGCGATGACACTGAGAGCCCTCACAGACGACCCCACAGAGAAGAGGGGACACGTCAGGGCTCAGACCAGGCACCCCGAGCTGCCAGCTCGGAGGGCGGAGGGGGCAGCACGGCAGGAATGGGGGGGGGTGATCCACGGAGGTCCAGGTGCGCAGCACCCACTGCCCTCTGGGCTCCACCTCAAGCCAACCCGAGGGCCAGTGGCCAAGTCCAGGGGCCAACAACCAACTTTCTCCGAATCTCACTGAAGCTTCCCTAAGGCGCCAACTTGGATAAACTGGATATCGATTGAGGGAAAAAAGTGATTTTACCTGTACCTTGTACCTCTCAAAACTTCCAATCGTCTCTAGGATGAAGTCTTCAGAAACCTTCGCTCTGGAAAGAATGGGAAACAAGCACATTCAAGCACTGACTGTCCATCCAGGTGAACTCAGCATCACGTCTGAAACACCACTACAAAGCAAGCTGTAATTTTTTTTTTTTTTTTAAACCCTGGACCCCCTGGCAGCTGACTGGGACCCAGGATCAGTGTGGCATCCACGCCCTTGTGCAAACAGGAAGGAATGAGTGTGCAACTGCTCACCCACAAAGGATATGCAACTTGGCTGCTCACCCAGGTAAAGGAGCTGGTCCCCAACCACCTCCCCGCAAAAGCAGCCATTCAGATAGGAGCCACAGTCGCAGTCATTAATCAAAAAAGGACCACGATTGTCTATTCACTTCAGGTGTGTCCTTTAGAACTCATCCTCCTTGACACCCAAAGGTGTGAGGGAATGAAGAGAGCAGAGATACATATAAACTATTTACGAGAAAATGATTTCCCGAAGAATCTATTTAGATTCCCATTCTTCTTTGTTTCTGATTGCTCTGCTTACTGTCTGTAAGCCAACAGAAGCATCTCCACATTTCTGTGTGGAGAAATGTCCAGAAGCTGCACACTTCTATGGGGTGTGCTAGCCCTCTGCAGGGCAGGACGGAGCCCTCGACACAGGGGCCCGTCTAGTGGTCTCCGACGACTCTGCAGAGAATCAGAACGGGGAAGCCAGGGCCTGTGCAGGGCTAATGGAGGTAGGCAGCCGCTTGAACTTGACCCCTCTATGGTGGCAAATGATCCAATATATTTTTTATTTTAAATTTTTTCCTTTATTGATTTTAGAGAGAGAGGAAGAGAGAGGGAGAAAGAGATAGAAAGATTGATGAGAGAGAACACTGACTGGCCGCCTCCTGCATGCCCCCCACTGGGGATCGGGCCCACAACCTAGGCCTGTGCCCTGACCGGGAATCCAACCAGCGACCTCTTGGTGCAGGGTCGACGCTCAGCCACTGAGCCACACCGGCCGGACCCAACATATTTTTTAAACCTTGGAATCAAACTCTAGCACTTTTTGTAGTTGGAGTAGTATTTTCTTTCGCTTTAAGAGCATATGCAGTTCTCGTCATTTCTCTGAAGATAGCTGAGACGTAGGAGGAGTTCCCCGGGAACACGCTGGTGCCCCCTCTCTCCCTCATGGCCGCCAAGGAGTGGGGCCAAGCACGCTGACAGCAGGAGACCAGCGTGCACCCCGCTCTTACATGTCCACCCACAACGTACGATTTCCAGGGTCACCCGGGGTCCCTTGGGGCTCAACACATTCTCCGAATCCTGAGCAAACGAGACCCCAAAGTGACAGGTGGCAATGGTTAGGATGCCCCAGGACCCGCGGAGGTTTCCAAAGACGGAGTCTGGGTCTCTGCAGCCATGGCTGCCTCTGACGGCCACGTATCAGCAAAAATGACCATGTCTGAGCCGGCAGGGAAGTGCCCTGGACGAGGCCATATCCACTCAGCACACAGCCCACGCCGTCTACCTCAGCGCTGGGGGAGGCGCTGGCTTAGCGGACGGACACACGGCAACCTGACCAACTGTGGGGTTTTCACACGGGCAGGCAAGGCACGGCATCCCCTTCCTGAGTCCCGGGAAAGAGGCTGATTCACGCACAATACGTGCAGATAGACAACACGAACACTAAGGACTATCAACAGAAAAATGTCTTTCTTCTAGAAATGCAATGTCCTTGCCACTTTAGTAAGTGAAAGCCCAGAGTCGTGGTTGGTAAGCACGTGTCCTGTTCACCCCAATTCCACAGTGACGAACGCAGGACAGCAGGTGAGGGGTCTGTGTGTCTGCACTTTCAACCTCGGTGTGCTGGGCCCTGGTGTCCCGGTTCCCTCCCCCGAGCCTAGTCTCCACATCTCCCCTCCGCCAAACCGCTCCTGGCCCCGAGGGGCCCAGGTAACAGTTCACACTGCTGGCTGCAGACGACCATGGAGGCCTCGGCCCCTGGCCGTCTGCAGCCTTCACCAGGCACTTTTTCTTCTTTCCCAAAGCAGAACCCCACAAGCTATACTTAACACCGAAGACGGCAACATGCATGTTCCTCATACAATTACTAACCACGTCCTTTCCAGGAGGTTTCTCCTAACGTCTTATAACGGTACCTAAAAAGAATGCAAGGGTCCATTTACAAAATAACGGAATGCAATTCAATCAGAAAAGAAATGCTTCCCTCTCCCTACAGAGAAACTTGGCCTTTACCCCCCCACCAGGCCCCACGCCCCCAGCCGTGCAGGGGTGTGTGGGAGCCCCAACGCCCATGCCCGAGGCCACTCCTGACAAGGCACAGGGCCTCATGCACATCGGCACCATTGAGTTCTGCAGCTGTGACTCCCCCTCTGAAGGCCCCCACCCCGGCCGCAGCCTGGTCCTCTCTTCCGCACCAGGAGAAGGGAGGTGTCATGAGGCTCTGGGGCTCTGTGATAAGCATGACCTGGCTTCTCCATTCACCAGCTGTGTGTTCCTGGACACGTGTCTGGGCCTCTCTGGGCCTCTGCTCCCTTACGCAGGAGGTGGGCATACTAATAGTGCACACAACACCTGGTTGTTCTGAGACCCTGAGTGACCTTGGAAGAGCTTAAAGCAGAGTGTGGATCGAAAGTCTGCACAGGTATCGGCAGTGCCTTGCTACCTGAGCACCTTTGCTAAGGAGACTCCGTAGGACACCAAAGCAGGCTTTGGCTGCCAGCCCACCTAACTCCTCGGGCAAAGTGTCCTCCTGCCCAAGGGAGCTCAGGCTCAGCACCCAGGTGGCCCTGAGCCCACAGCCACACTGCGGTTAGGGACTGGGAGGAGACCGCAAGCCCTTTCTGTTCAATCTCCTCACTCAGCTCAGGATCCCCCCTCCCGCCAGAGGTGCCCAGGGAAATGGAGACCCTCAATGGCAATCGCCACTCCACCCCACCTGTTCTGGGGGGGGTGGGTCTGCACATTATAGCCAGAGGCCAGCTCCCACCTTTGAGAAGAGAAGCATAAGACAGCTGCTATCACATGCAGGGATGAGTGGCCACAGCAGACCCCATGCACTGGGTCACCTCCTGGTGGCCCCCAGCAACATCTGCAAGACCTCTGACCCAGCAGGTCTCTGCCAGGGATCAGTGTGGACACGCCCCACCTGCATATAAGATACCCGACGCGAGGCTATTCAACAGGAAAACTGGAAACACCTAGAAGTCCCTCAGTGTTTGTGAGTGAACATGTATGTGTGTGGAGACACCCACGCATGTGTACTGTGTATAAGTCCATTTACAGATATGTGAATTGGGCATACCCCAGGCTGGAATACCGTGTGGATGTTACAAATAAAGCAGCCACTGAGCCGGAAGGATGTCCCCCACTGTGGTTAGCCCAGGAAAAACTAAGGCTCTCAACAGTATCATACAGTAGGTTCCATCTGCACAGGCACATGGTATGTGACCAGCTGTTATGTGCATAATTTAATCAAAAGGACTGTTTAATTAGATCAGAATTTAATCCAGGACCTGCTCGCAGTGAGTCACCAGAGAGAGGTTCTGGTCTAGAGTGGAAGTGGATTTCATTTTTCACTATTTTTATATTTTAGTTCTATTTGAATTCTTGCCTTAACCGTGTAGTTTCAAAATTAAGTTATTTTAAACTTGACATTAAAAGAAAGATGTATTTGCCCTGGCCGGTTTGGCTCAGCGGTTAGAGCGTCGGCCTGCGGTCCGGAGAGACCCGGGTTCGGTTCCCGCTAAGGGCACGTACCTCGGTTGCAGTTTGTCCCCGGCCCTGGTTGGGTCGTGTGGGTGGCAACCACTCGATGTGTCGCTTTCACGTCGATGTTTCTCTCTCTCTCTCTCCCACTCACTCTATCTGAACAAAATATCGAAAAATGTCCTCAGGTGAGGATAAAAAAAAATAAAAAAAAAAAAACCTTATAAAAAAAAAAAAAAGTAAGATGTATTAGAAACAGGATACAGACTGACAAACCTCAGAAGTGGTGGGGGACAAACCACAGAATTTAGATGCATGTTTGCGTAACCATGGACATGGACAACAATGCTGGGGACGGGGGGGGGGGTCGGGAGGAGGGTATCGATGGAGGAAAAAGGAGAAACATTTGTAACAAAAATAAATTAATAAAAAAAATTTTTTAAAAGATATATTAAACATAAAAAATTTGGAAAATACAGAGCACATTTCTGACCATTTCAAAAAAAAGGGCTGTAATTACGTTATTAATTAATGACTCTAAGTAGAATTCCTGTTTTGAAGTTTACGACACAGATTTCGTTAAAATGGAAGTTTTGAACAGCAGACAGACCTAACTAATTGCCTTTCCGGTCATTTCTGCCATTTCGTGGGAACTCATCCTTCTCAGTAACAAACAGAAGAGAGTTCACTTGTGACCACTCTGGAGGGCGGGGCTACGACGTGTGGGTGCGCAGGGCCTGGGAGGCAGGCCGCGGACCCCACAGCGCCCGGTGCGGGATGGAGGGGCAGCTGTGCAGACACAGGAAGCAGAAACACACCTGGAGTCCAAGAAAAGCAGCAAGCGCCTGCTGCGTGTGGGCTGGCAGGAGCGAGCCCTGCCAAGGCCCCTGCGTGTCTCTGCGTGCGGCATCGTCCCGTGCCTGTCCGAGGCTCCCAAGCAAGATTTCATGGCTGCGTGATGTTCCAATTAAATTGGATAATGCTGGAAAATTCAGATCACTGCCAATTTCCAACTTAAAATTCATTTTAAAGACTGATTTTAACCACCAGCAAAGCCTGACCGACAGGCTTTCAATCCAGAGCGCAGAGCCTATCTGCAGAGGTCTGGGTGTCCCCCAGAGAGGATGCGGTGAGAGGGTCATAAGGCTCTGTCCTTGGGGAGCAAGAGACAGGCTCGAGACTCTGACTCACCACAGTGACAGGCTGGCTTCCTTCTGCTGCGACTCATCTACACGATTTCCATGACTTACGTTCAATCAACCTTAGTTTTTCCAGTTAGCTGAGCTACTTCTGAAAAGGCGTACATGTACGCTGTCGGCTATAAAAC